GAAATACGATGGTAATGGAGGTTATTACTTTTCTGATGTCATCTTGTTCAGTCAAGTCCTGGGAATCAGTTCTGGGCTGAGAACATTGCAGATGTTAACAGTCTGGCAGCATACATTTTCCTGGAGCCTTTCATATGCTAAAAACCTCTCTCTTTGTGTTTCATGCGTTTGGAATAGCAGAATTATTCAGTATTCTACAGTTATAGCCTGGCTCATGTACCAGTTCTATTCCAGTTTGTGATCATTGAATCCTGTGGAGGGATAGCGTCCTCCTCAGCAACATCCAAGATGGAAAAACCTGCCTAAGAAAGAGTGGTAGGTGTCGATTCCTATTTTCTTCCCTTAAATTTTACAGGGAGAACACTGGAAGCAGAAGGCAAGGCTTTATTTGAACTTTAAACTGGAGAATTACTGAAGCTGTGTGGGAAGAAATGGAATTGCCACTGTATGAAAAATGTTATGATGGTAGCAAAACAGAGGATGCCTGTGACCTTTTGCAAAACAGAGGATGCCCATGCCCTGCATTACCTGATATTCTCCCCAAACGCCAGTCACATCTTTGTAACTGGTTTCAGCTGTCACTTCTCATCTTGTCCTGCCAAACGCTGTGATCCCTCATTGCCACTGACTCTTCGGGGGCACAAGCTCATCTTTAGCACTCCTGCTATTTTCAGCACGCTAATGGAGCAGATGCATGTGGCTCTTTCCTTCTCCTCCTGCATGGCAGGGAAGTTCTGCAGTTTCATGTCCTGTCAGGCAGGTCCTGCTCACCTGCTGTCACAGTGCCATGCACCACTTCAGATGCTGCAGTTCACACTGCATGAGCTGGCAATAACTTTTTTTTGCAGAAAAGGTGAAGATTTGAGACAGGTCTTCTGCTGTGAACAAAATAAAGCCTATGCCTGTTGCTAGAGAATTTCCCAACTTAAACATTTGGCTCTTAAATCTGCACTTAAACATTTATCAGTTCTCCTGCTACCCCCAAATCATTCCCTTCTGCTAAGCAAGGGTCCAACCGCAGCTCTTGCTGTGCAGCCACCCTCACCTCCATGGGTCCCCATTTGAGCTCCTCAGGCTAGCTTGGGAAGTTAATGTGGTTTTATTGCCAAAAAAAGTGCATGCACAGCCAAGCCTCCCACCTGCTCCGTTGCTATCAGTGCTCCTGGGTTCAGGAGAAGGAGGAGGCTGCAGTGAGAGCTCTGCGTGGGCATTGCTGCGGTCTGGCAATATGATATTCCTGACCCAGTAATGCCCAGGGTCAGAGATCTTCCCAGCCTCGTGGTTATTTTATAGGAGCACTCGAAATGCAAAAATGTGCTGGAGAGGGTTTGGGCCACATCGATGAGCCCAGCCTGTGGGCTGCAACAGCCCGTAAGCCAGTCCCGCTGCCACCCCGTCTGCCCTCCAGACTGCAGCTGCTGGTACATTTATGCACTAGACCTTGAAGATGTTTGACGGTTTGTTTTCCTTTCATTGCCATAAGCAAACTCACTGACTGTGAAAAGGGATAAATTAGCATCTCTGAAGACTGAGTCTCTCTTTATTCGGAAAACAAGCAGAGAGGAGCAGCAGCTCAGGCTCCCTCATCCTCTCTCCCTGAGCTGTGCCAACACAGCTCTTCATGGACCTGGCCTAAACCACAGCTACTCTGTGCTTTTGAGAGCCGTAGAGATTTTAAGCACTTGGCTGAGTCTGTGAATGCAGAGGTCAGTTGTAGCTTCTTAGACGAAGCCAAACAGTCTGATCACTGTGCTGGTTTTTAGCCTGTATTTTCTGGACTGAGTACAGTAACTTGTATTTCAAAGAAGTCTCTTCATACCATACCGCTTCTGTTCCAGCATTACTGTCACAAGCCTTCGCAGGTCTCTGCTGCTTACCGAGCCATGTGGTGTGAGCAAACCTCCCATGCCAGGGAACCATGTAGGGGTGCCACACATGTCACCTGGAGTCTCACCTACCCCAGGCTCTGGCTTCTGTGGTGGCCTCCAAGCAGCTGCTTGCTTCTCCCACAGTCTCCTCTGCAGCCGGTCCCAGCTGCAGATGAGATGCTGAGTGAAGCCAAGAGCATTCTCAGGTGCCAGCCTGGACTTTGAGTCATGCAGTGACAGCAAGTCCCAGAGGAAACCTGTATTTTTAGACTATGTTTGCCTTTCCTTCCACTCTGTGGTAAAAAAACTTTGTAAGCCATTCTGCCTATGAGACCTCTGAAGTAAGAAGAGAGACACGGGGCTGGATGCTGCTGTGCTCTTCCCACCCCAGTGGTGGGATTGTAAGTACCGAACAGGAGGGATGCTGAGCTGGACGCACTTTTGGTCTGTTCCAGTGTGGTCACTCTCCTGCCGTTGCAAACGCATAGAGAGGAGGCAAAAGACAGATGAAGCCCATGCTTACTCTCTGTCTTCACCCACACATCTGGCTCAGCCATGCCGTCATGCACCGATGTCTCCCTGAGGCAGGACAGGGCTCCAGTGTCCGTCCCCCCTCTGGACAGTGGTGCCTGTCCCTACCTTCTTTCTGTAGGTCCCAAAACAAGGACAAGATATGCAAAATGATTGGTTTAGTTTGGACAGAGTAATTTCTGCAAAGCTCCATTCTAAATTCCCAAGTGTGAATGTGTGTCCCGTTCAGGTTTCCCCAGATAATGGCACATTTTCTTATTATGCTGTCCTGGATTTCTGTTGGGGCTTCCCCATGCCTAAGAACCTTCCCCACCTACAGCAAGTGTTTTACAGTTCAGGGTCACCCTCTGCCCTTTTGCAGCAGCCAAAACTTGTATCCAGGAAATTTCCTTCGAAAGGCCACTGAAGTGCTACCAACATGGTCAGAACCTTAACCCCCAATCCTCCCTTCATTTGCATGCTCCTCACTTAGCTGTGGTGCCCATGGCTTCTGAAGGGGACTGGCCAAAGTAAAATCTGTCCATATAAAGACCCCAAGTGCTGTGCTGATCATCACTGTTGGTACCAAAGGGGCTGAGCTGCCTCAAGCTACTCTTTCAGCCTCTCCAGCCTGTCCATCTTTACCAGCTGCTCAGAGACCACATCCTGCACAGGCATCCCACATCTGGAACTTTATTTATAAAATGACTCGTACAGGGGCACACAGTCCTGAACCTCTTCAGCTTGACAGGGCAAAATTACTAGGCAGGGCACACGGAGACCCCTAAAGATGACCAGAGCTAATTTGCCAGGGGCTGGTTTGTAGACGCGAAGCCTCTTTATGTGCTACTTTAGGGAACAAGCTCGTGTTCTGACGTTGCTGAATATATGCCAATGAGGGCCACCATGCTATGTACAGACTTTAATGGGAACTCTTCCCTAAATTAGATGGAGGAGATGAAAATGGCTTGGCAAAATGACACGACCTCAGAAAGTATTCCCAGAGAGCTCTGGAGCAACTCAAGCGCGGGCACGCAGTAAATAATTCAGAGGGCAGCCTCCACTTCTCTGCTCCTCTCCTTCCAGGTGAACTAAAATCCATGGAGTGGGATAGGTTTTCTTCCTTCTGGGGCTATATTTAGATCATTCCTGCCAGCCATGGTGGGAGGAAGAGACCAACAGTTCCCAGCAAGCACACAATGATGAACATCCAGAGGAAGATCCTGTCAATGACCATTGCAACATACTTCCAGTCTTCCTTCACCTGGGAACACAGACATGAAAGGCCAATTATTAACATTTATTTGACATTAAAACATAGGAAGACCATTACTGCTTTATTCCAAAATAGGATATTTTCATTTAAGCCCAGAGATAGGAGGGGAAGGTCTTGCTTATGTTTAATGGTTCTATACGATGGCAAAGATTTATTCCGTCAAGTGCTGATGTGGAAGACAGATCCCTGGACTGCGTGGGTGTGCAACTGCAATTGCAAATCCTGTTCACAACTCCCTGGGGACGACATATGCCTGTGGATAACTCAGCTCGTCTGCACACTCATGATCCCCTTTTCCATGAGCAACAGCTGTAATTGGGTGTGTAAATGAAGCTGCAATTCAGGCTGGGGAGGCTGGGGGAGAAAGAAATTACTTGTTTCCCCATGCTTATAAACAGATTTGCTTACAGATTAACGAAGCCAAACTCTTTCTGCAAAGGGATTTACAGCTTTGGGTGAGTAAGCACTGAGAATGAACCAGCAAATAAAAGAAGCAGTCTTCCTCATGCTGCTTTTTCCCCACTTTTGTCTTGCTGCGGGCGGATTTCCCACCTATTCATCTCTGGGGATGCCTAGTACTTATTAACACCATCAGGCAAGAGTTGTAAATGGCTATTTCATTAAGTAAGAAACCACATACATACGAAAACTTCTTTTATTACATTGCTGTTATTAATTTCTTTCCCAGGAAGAGGACTGATCAGATGGCAAAGTTCTATTTGATATGGCTGTATCCATTCTAATTTCCCACAATATGCCATTTGGTGATTAATAGACCCGAGGGCTGATATTTGGCATGCTGCCTTGCTCTTTAGGGAAAGCATCTCAGCAGGAGCGAGCTCAAAGTTCTTCGTTGGCCGTGCTTGCAGCAAGCCTGTTCATCCACAGACCCTAGATTTGTTTTAAATAGAGTTAATAATAAAGGGATAACCTAGAACAGTACATGTGAACTAAAACATGAATTATAGGAGACTTGGCTTGATTTTTTTTTTTAAGGATTTGCTCATTATGCTGAAAATTCATTTTGTTAAAGGAAGCAATCCCAATATCAATGAAATAGCCATTTGCAGCAGATTATGTTTTCACAGGCTTAACGGCAATGTGAGGTCCTAAAACATTATGATCTGTCAAGTGCCAAACAAATAAGTTCTGAGCACAACCCAGTGACTCTGTAAACTCACCTTGAGTCTTCTTTTTCTTCTTTAGTGATGGATGCACCACTGAATTTTACCTAATACCTTTTGGGCGGTACAGAGAACTCGTGATGTGTCAGAGGGAGAGAATATGCAATCCTCGCTTCTGTGAATAATGTGAGCTAAGAGAATAATGCCTTGCAGGTAAGGTATGTGCATTTACCTCATTTTGGTGTGCTGGACCCTACACAACCTGAATCTTCCAATGCCCAGCAACTTGTCTCAGTAAGCAGCTTTGTACACTGTTTTAAATTATGTTTTCCCACAATTCGTTCTCTGAAAGCATCTTAACTTTCAGGAATACTTGTACATTTTTTTAAATTGGTTAAAGATTTTGTGGATGGATAATTTTGCTCTCTTTTAAAAGCTCCAAGTTAAGCAGGTCTTTAGTATCCAATAGAGGCAGACAAACAGGGGTTCAATCTGAAGCTTGTTACCTTCTTGGGGGAAAGATTGTTGTTTAATGGTTGTATGGCCCTTAGCACATCCATCTATAATTAGGGTGAGGAAAAAATATAATGACCCTTGAAATCAAAACGAATTTTCTCATCCCAAGGAGAAGGTCTCAGTCAATAACCTCCCTTTGCTGTACATGTTTTCTGATGTATTCAACACTTGCTGAGAGTTGGAGTGAGTCTCTGATGTTTAAAATTCCTCATGGTGAGGGCAAGCTCTGGAAGTTTGTATTTATGAGATTAATGCCTCACGATGCAACCAATGTGTAAAGAAAATCTGAAATTTACTGTCTGATGTCCAGCTGGAAAGGTAGATTGAGTAAAAAGTAGCCCATGCTGGCAAAATAAGCTTTTCTGTGTATTTGTGCTAAAAAAAAAGTGAGTGTTAGACCATGTGAAGAAAAGAAACTTCAAGAAGAGGGAAATGAGAGAAGAGGAGCAACTTGAAAAGTTCAACAGAAATTTGCTTTCAAATGTAATGCATAAATACTCAGCCCATCTCAAAAATTATGGCTGAGAGTGCATGAGATGTTTGCAAATTCAATATCCAGCTTCAGAGAGCACAGAAGGGTGAAATTAGAAAATATGGACAGTGAAAAAAAAAAAAAGACGAGTGGGAAGAGAAAATTATTGGGATTTTTCTGTTTGTTTGTTTTCTTTTCTGACAGCACTGTAACATTTCCCTGTGGTCCAGCACCTCACGTGGAGCATGATCCGCAGAGGCATCTCTGGCAGCATCCATGCAGCTGCCAACATCTGCCACCCCAACTCCTGAGCTTTATTTTGATTATTTTTTAAGAAGCTCACTCAAAACTATTTTTGGGAAAGGATCAAGGGCAGGATCCAGCTGACTCCCCAACCCCCAAACTCCTGAAAACTGAGGGAACCTGCGGCTCTTCCCTAGCCCAGCTCCCAGCAGCAGGAGCAGGCTGTGCTGCCCCAGGACTCGGGCAGAAGGTTGAGGTGCCTTGGTGACGTCTGAGCCCCGGGACCCAGAGCCTGCAGCACAGATTAGTGCAGTCCTGGGTGGTTTTATTGTACTTTGTTAAAAATAAACTGGTGAGATTATCCCGCGTTTCCTCCCCCCCAGCTCCATTCTCTCCCATTTTATTTTTAAACTATTTTCAAAGTCTCATTAGAGCAGTCCAGAGATGCACGCAGGCATGAGGACAACACGGCTTTCTAGACGCTGCTGTTGATGTCTGCTTATTCTGGCTCGTGTGTGACACGTAACTTGTTTTGTTTCTCGGCCTGTAATTAATTTCTAATGGCATTTCTATCATATGCTGGGACAATTCGGTCTTGCATTTTCCCCAGCGTACCATTGTGCTCGGATTTGTTTGCAGATATCTTTTTGTAACGAACAACTGCCTCTTGCATTTCCCATTTTCTCTCTGCTGAAGCACTTAATTAAATGAGCTATTTACTTTTAATTTAGAAGCACTGCCCCTGTGGCAATGGTGCTTCAGAAAAAAAAAAAGGCAGGAACTTCAAAAGCAGCTCTCTTCTCATTCTGGGAAGGTGCATGTCTCTGAAAATATTACCCAAGAGACAGCAAGCCATGTCTCAGGGGACGTAGCTGCATCAGAGGTGCCTGATTCATTGAAGACCTCCATGAAGAAATGCTACAATTTGATTTTAAGATGAAAGCAAATTTCTGAGTCCTGTTGGTTGGGTTTTTTTTCCTGATAAATTCTCATTTTATTAGATCAGTTCTGCTCCTTGCAGTAAATTTTAGTTCCAGAAGATCATGTTTTCTTCCTCTTTGTCATTTCCACCTGGAGGAAAAAAAAAAAAAAAAAAAGGGCTTTCCCACTTGACGTTACTGGGATCTGGAAAAAGAAAGTAGTGTAGCAGGAGGTCTGGTCAGAGCTCTCAAAACTGCTCCATTTATTCTGCTTTTGATGTTTAGTACTGCAAATAGCTTTCTCCTCATGATAATCACTTGATTTCAAGAGGGAAGAGTAGTGGAAGGTATAAGAAGGGATCTTGTGGCTTCTGAAGACTGGTTTTATTTCAAAGAAAGTTGCAGTCATGGGCGAAAAGGAGCGAACTCAAGATACTCATTAAGCCAGTTCATGATGGTCAACAAGCTTAGCAGAAAAAGAATCAGCTGAAATGGGGAGTATTGGTGTAATATTCTTTCATTTGCACCACGAGGAAACAAGTGGGTTAAAATCAACTGAATTCCACAGGCTTACCTGTGATTATTGCGAGGGGGAGAGAGAAGAATTTAATTCCCCCAGCCCTAATGAGCTTGTGAAGTGCTTTAGCTGGTGAAGCTGGGGATTCACAGCCCAGCTCTGCCACAGATTTGTTCCGTGACCTTGAGCAGGTCACTTCATCTCTGTATTTTGGCTGCCCCTCCTCAACATCAGGAATAAATTGTTACTTCCTCAAAGGGATGCTGTGAAGAGCAATGCATAAAAGAACAGAGGCCTCTCAAACTATGGTACCAGAGTATATAAATGGACAGTAGCACTTAACGTTTTGTTGCTGTGGCTAAGTGCTCTGTGCTGTGAAAATTGCAAATATAAAGACATTCTTAGTGCCCAGGAACTCTTGCAGAAAAGCACTATAACTTGAACCAACTCTAAATTTTGAGAAAATCAAACTCTAAGCACAGCTTAAAAAGTACTTTTAGCTGATGAGTCCCTCTAGGAAAAGCTAGGTGAGACTTCTTTAGCAAGAACACTAACTTCAGATTATCTTGTGGCTTACTTCATTGTGGCCATAATTAGCTACACTGTATCTGTAGTATTGCAGGGGAAGAGCTACGAGAGATGTGTAAGGATGTGCCATTTGTATGTGCATCACCATCTCCATTAAAAGAAATTTCTTCAGCCTCTACTTTCCTTCTCTATTGTAGCTATATTTACCCCTTCAGAAAAAGTGTGAAATTTGTCTGTCCACCCACCTTCCTGCACAGAGCCAACTGCTCCAGTGGAAGTCCACTAACGAGCAATCGCATCACACAGAACTAAACAGACCCTGCAACACCCCTACCCTGCTACGTGCTTCCCACACCCACAACCTGTTTTGGGACTTTGCTCAGTAGCCACAGTCAATGCTTAATGAAAACCAGAGAGTGTGAATTCCCCATCTGTCAGAGGCTTCTCTATAAAGAGTGTCTTCTCCCTTCCCACCAGATGTCTGATTTTTGGGTCTCTTTCACAATCCTAGCTCCTTCCTGTCTGCTTAACAACAACTTTACTTCTATTTTCTGCTGCAGAATCCCGAGCAACGCTGAGCATGGTCTAGTTCTGCTACTCTCTTGGCCCATGTATGTGCCAAGAACCCAAGGATAAATTCTCCAGCTGTGCCTTTAGTGGCCTATGTGCTCAAAAGCCAAAATATCAGGGATGCCTGAGCCTGCATCAGCAAGTAAACTCTCTGTACACCTCCCAAGGTTTGGTGGAGCTTCCTCAGCAGATCATTTTTGACTTCCCCAAGGAGAGCAGGCTAAGCTAGCATACTTACTGAGAAATCAGCATCTTCTGCTCGCAAGTGGTCTGCGATGTAGTGAACTCCTTCCACTGCCAGCTTCAGGGCTGGGGACATCAGCACGAGGTGCTGCTCTTTGGTGCAGTGAGGTTTACTCCCTTGAGCTGGTGTGCCAGCTGCCTCGCTCTTTTTGCATTTACACTTGCACTGAGGGGGCTTGTGATGGGGCTGCTCTTCATTGAGGTGGCACCTCTGAGATGCTGGAGAGCCGGTGGAGTGCCCATTGGTCTGGGAAGAGTCCTCTTGCAGGTAGCAGTACTGGATGCTCCGGGACCTGCAGCGGATGCTCCCTTCCTCTGCCTTATTGGGGCTGTACATCTGCTGAACACTTAGCGATCTGCCTTTCAGGATGGAGGTGGTCTGGGTGTCCCTCCGGGCGTGGCATGAGGGTTGTGGAGAGGAGCAGGTCACCTGTACAGGCTCTGGGTGCAGCACGGAGTACTGCCCAGAAGGGGACTTGCAGAGAGGCTGAGGCTTGGCTGGCTCCTCAGGGTGGGCGCAGAAGGAAGATGTGGGTGATGGCTCATTACTCTGGGGGCTGGGAGAAGATGAGGTAGTGAAGTTGGGTTCCACGTCGATCTCGGACCAAAGCCTCGGTGTATTGGTGATTTTGTGCATGGATTCAATGAGCTTCTTGCAATTGTCTTTCACCGTGGAGGGACGTTTCATGAAGAGGAGGCGTGGGACTATGTCAAGGAAGATCCTTCTCACCCAGTCAGGCATCGTGTGGGTACGTGGAGAGCGATGGTGCACATTGAGCACAAAGACAGTGATGATGATAGACAAGGTAACAAATATCATGGTGAAGAGAAGATACTCTCCAATCAGAGGGATGACCAGGGACGTAGATGGGATGATCTCTGTGATGAGCAGCAGGAACACAGTGAGGGACAGCAGCACAGAGATGCACAAGGTTATCTTCTCTCCACACTCAGAGGGTAGGTAGAAGACCAGGACAGTCAGGCAGGAGATCAGCAGGCAGGGGATGATCAGATTGATTGTGTAGAACAGCGGCAACCTCCGGATAATGAAGGAGTAAGTTATATCGGGGTAGATTTCCGTGCAGCATTCGTATTTCTTGCTGTTGTAATTGCCCACGGCGTTGATGATGACCCATTCTCCGCTCTCCCAGTAGTCCAGCTGGTCCACATGACTGTGCATGCTCACCAAGTCTATCTTGGCTTTGTCATAGGTCCAGGAGCCAAACTTCATTGTGCAGTTTTGCTGGTCAAAGGGGAAGAAGGTAACATCGATGCTGCAGGAGCTTTTATAGATAGCAGGTGGCATCCATTTAATTCTCCCGTCATAGAAGAGGTGGGCTTTGGTCAGATGGGTGACTGCAAAGTCACCATCAGCACTGGGGAGAGAGAGAAGACAGAAAAAAAGAATAAGACTTATCTGTTGAAGAGATTAGATATTTAGTGCCTGGCTTCCAAAAATGCACTTGCGAGATGCAAGAGGCACATCACCTGCAAACTCTGGATCCATCCACTCTGCTCATTGGGTTTTGAGCTCTGTTGGCTTATGCAAGCACTGAATTTGCATGTAAATGTCAGTCCCGACCCCACATAAGTCAGGTCCTTGAAAACACAAGCTTTCCCATAAACACACTGGAAGGGATTGAGTTTGATTTGGAAAGGTGGGAGGAACAACTCCCAGGTAGCATGGCTGTGGGCTCTGCAGAGCTAATTTTGACAGCTGCTCTAAATGAAGCAATGTTGGGCAATCATTCCATCTCTTATATGAAAAACAGCAAAAACCATCCCATTAATAGGAATAATGGAAGTTAATCTCTTGATTTCCCAGTCAGGAAGAGAGCTGCCTTTTACGATGTCTTCTTACAGGGACTCTCAGTTGCAATCTGTGTGCTGGTATAAGATAAATATCCAGAATTTTCTATCAGAAAGCTATTTTCCAGCCAGTGAAAAAGCTAGTGCATAAACAGAATTTATTCTGTTTGGCTCCTCTGTTCTCAGCTGATCAGTGCGTGATTTCCAGCAGCATCCATGACACCAACTGCTCCCAGTGCGTCTCGAGGACTGGCACACATGTGAAGGAGACCAGAAGAGGAAAGGCAAGTGCACTGCGGGCTTTGGGGGAAGTGAGACCACCAAGAAATGCCACTCGAGTTGTAATAATGCTGGAGAAAGGAGGGAGACTGAGAAAGCCTGTGAATGGGATCCCCATCCATGGAGACAGCCCTGTCCTCCACCTGCCTCAACATCACCAGCCACAGCTCTGCTCCTTCCTCACAGCCCCAGCTTCCACACGTTAAACACCGAACCCGCCGCTGGCCCCAGCGTGCAGAGGCCACAGAAAGAAATTAGCTTATTAAGAGATTCAATTAACACAGCAAGTAATTAATGCCCTACATGGCTGTGCCACCCAGAAGCACTGTTCCTCCCCTGCTCTCAGTGAGAAGGACACGTGGACTGTGACACTTAGAACCCACGTCTGGGGCCAAGTCCACAGGTACCTTCTCTACAGCAACATCCTTTCTCCAGGCAGGGTCTGCAGCCTGCCTTGGCTTACACAACGAGGCAAAGCTGAAGCACTCAAAGCTGCACAAGTAACATATCTCCTTGTTGGAAAATCGTTTTGATGAAGACTGTGTGTTTGAATCACAAAAATTACACCTTCACCTGAAAATGAGCCAAGCCCTTACATCTGCAGCCCCTTTGTGCAGTGACTGGCTAAAACTTCAAACCTTTTCTCTCTCTTTCTACCTGCAGACAAAGGATTTTGGTACTCTTGGACAGTCACAACCTGGATGAAACATCCTGGTTCAAGGAGCCTTAAAACGTGAGTGTGGTTTGGATAAAGCTGTAATTTTTTTCACCATTGGCAAAAGTCTGAAAGGTTGAAAGCCCAACCCAAAAAGCAGTTGGAATCAGTAGAGCAATGCCTTCAAGCCTAGCTACAGGAATAGAGAAAAGAGCATCCAAAAAGAAAGAAGGGCATTGGAGACCAACATACACGCTTGTCTCCAGCCACTGCAGAGCCCGGGGACACGAAAGAAGAAGCCTGTTTTGTGTCGCCAAGTCGCGAACGGCAATGCTGCTGAACAAAGGGGAAGCTGAGCAGGGAAGGGAGAGTGCTTCTGCTAAAAACTTGAGATGAATTATTCAGGCTGGTGTAGATAGAAAGCTCTCTGCTCCTGCCCAGCCCTCTTGGCTGGAGCTGATCCAGCCAGCAGCCTCCTCCCCAGCAATGGGCAAATTCCCTCAGCCCTTGCTCTGCTGCTTCAGTGCCCAGATGTGCCGCGGCAGCAGCTGTACAGAGACAGGGTGCGCGGAGGTCAAACCTCTCCTCTTCCTCACCAGCAGCAAGATAAACAGTGCAGGGATGATCCAGTGCTGCCTCTCCAGCTGCTGAAGGCAGGGGAACTTCCCTAGATTTATGCCTTTAGGAGATCATCCGCTGATTTACATGCAAAAAGAGGAAAAAAAAAAGATTTTGCAGTATTCTGTCTTGCTCTGTGAAGGATCATCATCAGTCCATGGTCACACAGGCTTCCAGTGAGACCAGTGAGGTATTGCTTATTTTGGGAAACAGAGGCAGGATCCAGCCTTCGATGAGCTGTCTCGGCTAACACAATACCTGGGCACAGATGGCAGGTGCCCCTGACTCAGGATCACAGCCCAGATCTTGGTCTTCTGAGGCAGTTTTCCGGGTTGGTTGGAAAAATAGACTCAGAATTACTGTGTGGTGGAGAACTAGGCTTTTACTACACTCTTTTTTAATATTTCTGTAATGGAAAGTCTTTGCTCTTTATGGCAAATTTTGGGAAAACAAAAGAACACAAAAGGACCCAGTGTTTTTGAATTCTGAACTGGATTTTTCTAAAGCTTTTTTTCTTTTTTTTTTTTTAAGACAGGAAAGCTAAAAATAGGTACAAACTCAGACTGCTGTCTCAAAGGGATCAAGGCAAAAACTACCATCGTGTTTTACTCCGATGTAAATAAAACCAAGCAATGCTACTGTGCCATCCACCCAATCGCTTCCTTACCTCTTGCTTCCTAAATCAAATTTGCACTCCAGGACCACTTGCTTTGGATGAAAACCATCTTTCTTCTTTCTTTTTTGTCCTGGGTTTTGTATGCACTGTGAGGCCAGATTGAAACATGAACCACGCACAGCAAGTGACAGTCCAGAGTTTGTTGTTCTCAGTGGTTTCCTTTCTAAATCTCGATAGGAATTTGGAATCCAATTCTGGATTTAATGAGATCTCTGAGGCATGATTAAATCATTCATTAATGAAGCAATATATTTATAATTGGGCTCATATTACAGAAAAGGGATGAGGAACATCCACTAGCATTTCCCTTCTTGGTTGGTAAACAAGAGGTGTGCGTTTTTCCTTTTGAGAGCTGTTGGAAAAGGACATGAAAACTTCCTAAAATTCATCCAGGAACAATAATAATTAACTTAATTGTGTTTCATTCCCAGAAATGTCTTGTGTGGCAGTTTTACAGCCTTTGCATGACTAGCCACACGCCTCTTCTCTGCAAGCTTAGATATAACTAATTTGAAGCTGCAGATCTTGTGTGTCAATTATTTCTGTAAATGATCTGCTTCTTTGATGAGGAAGATATTTTTTAATTGCTTGCCTAACAAACCCAGCCTCATCCTGGATCCTCTTTGGCTCAAACATTATTACAAATAACACCAGTAATGCCTTTCAAGCTGGATTTTGCCTGCAATGCCACTGCAGGAGTGAAACCAACAGCAGAATAAACTCTTGCATTTGAGAGTCATCTAATTGAGGAGCCATAAAGACCTCTGGGATCCTCCTGCTTCTCCCATACCAACCTAATAGGGCTGTGAAGTAATCCCTGAACTTTACTGGGCATGTTTGAACTTCTCACTGCAGTTCCATGTGGAGAGATTTGAGTAATTTTTAAGCTGGGTAAATTAGCCATGTCATGTGTATATACATATATATATATTTGCTTTCTTCTCCAAGCTTACCACCCACGCTGGACCTTCAAGCATATGCTTGCTGGATTGGAAGCTGGCACTCTGTTGATGCAGGGTGAACCTACAGAGATGATTTCATCCTGGATGAGGCTTTCCTTTTGCTCCTCTAGACATGAGAGAGGGAGCAAACAAGCTCCCCTGGCTGTAAAGGGTCATCCAAGGCCTTTTCTCTGTATTCTCCGAGGGATGAAGGTGAGACAACCGACTGCAAATGAAGCCTGAAGGTAGGAGGCTGGGGAAGTTCTCATGGGGGAAAAAAACCATTCCTGGCCAAGTTGTGCCAACAGCCCTGACTGCGTAACGTGAATATTTCCTTAGACAGGAAGGTGGGAGATCTGATGCAGTGGGACAGAGAAAATCTACAGTCATTCCTTTACAGTGGTAGCACATTTTCATCTCGTTCAGCCCAGACCACTGCATTGTGACAGCTGTCATGAAGAACCATTTGGAAGAAGGAGCGAGTGCAAGGTAAACATCACAAGAACTGGAGAATTAAGGTAGTCAAGCTCTTCTGATTACTCTGACCTAAAAGCTCGAAAAATATATCAGTAATAAAGTTCTGGAGCTCTTATATTTTCATGTCAAATACAACAGTGAACATCAATAAAGAGAGAAGACAGTCGCTTATTTTTTTTTGACAACAGAAATAGAACTGCAGCCTTTGATTCCTCGTTTCGAGAATAAAGGCTGCTCTTCTAAAATCTTCTAAGTTTATAGGGGTTCAAAAATGGCATTGTTTTACTGGCAGCCATCAACCGTATTTCATTATAAAGCTCTGCTGACGGACAATTTTTTTTTTTTTGGCCAGCTTCTATTTTCCCTGCAACTGGGAGATACATCATCTCACAAAATTAAATGTTTTCAGAATGCATGTAAATGAGGCACACATTTATTTTAATTTCTGATGATACAATTTAAATCCAAACAGAGCTTTAAAAGCCTGCAAATTAGCTATATACGTACATAGGTATAGCTAGAATGTCCTCATTTAAAGCATTTTTCTTTGAACAGCAGTAATAAAAACAAATTAGAGTTTCAGGACCCCTTTTAAGAATGTACCCTGCACCCTTTTAGTAGATATTAATGAGATGCTTCTGTAATGTTCAGATTAAACTACTCTCCAAAGACAAATCAGAGAATATTTTATTTAACAGTTGTTCCGTGCAACCAAAATTGTAAATACAAATTCACAGGTTGGACCTCTGGAGAGGATGGGGACCTTATCCAACTGACTTTTAAATATCTCCAAGGTCTTGGCAACTTGAATACAAAAAGATCTTGGGTGCACAGACAGAGGTGCCTCCGCACCGATGCGTACTTCTTTAGGTTACAGCCCAGCTTTTGTTTGCTTCAGTGTTTAGAAGTCAGCAGTACCCGATATTTCGATTGCTCTGTCTCAGAAATGGCTGCGCTACACCAAAGGAATAGGCACAAGTTTCTCAGAAGACTCCAGCAGTGCTGAATTTGTGCATTTGGCTTCAGTTTTTCCCTTTGCCAAGCATCCTCATCAGCACTTCGGAAACAAAATTCTAGCTCTGTCCTTAGCAGAGTGGTAGGAGAAGTCCTTGGATGCTAACAGAGCAACAGCCCATGAGAGAGATCCCCCTTATAGATTTCTTTCTATCAATTCCTGTATTACTGGCTAGAGTTTGGCAGCAAACTTCAAAGGCATCTAGAGATACAGTTCCTCTCCGGGAGCATAGTCGTTTAAACTCACAGAAGAATCAGGAAGGCTTAAGTGGGAAGTAGCTATCATGAGCCTATTTTAAGTGTAATCTGGTGCAAAATAACACAATCTGTACCAACATACACGTAAACACACAAAGAAAAATGTCAAGAATGTTTCCAATATTTGAAAGGTTAGACTAGGGCATTTTTTTGGTATTTTTCCTCAAACAGCTTTAGGATGAGTCAGGAAATCAGCATTACTCTGTAAGTCTCACTGGTTGCAAACATCATAGTGTAGTTCAAAAGAACGAGTCACTAGAATATAGTTCAAAAGAGTTCTTTTGCTTTTTTGTGATTTTTCAAAAGCTGCCTTCCCGATGATCTGCTGACCCAGCTCTGTGCCCATATTACCACTGTGTGAATTCTACAAGACATTTCCTACTCCTAATTACAGAAATTCCTATTTCTATTTCCTTAATGTAAAATTTTAGTGGTTTTTTTTGTTGTTGTTTTTGTGATTATGGAGGCTAAGGTAGGAATCACTTTTTGAAACAGCTAACACCAGAAGATATTGAGAAAAAAAGAAATTTTTAAGTCTGAATATTCCCGGTAGCTTCTTGCCAGGTTTTATGGTTACCAGATTAGAGAAGACAAACGCTAGGATGCTATCGTGGATATCCAGTTGAAAACTAGTCAGTGCTGCTCACATTTCAAGTTCTTTGCCCACTCATCAGGCTCGAGGACTTTGTGTTCCTCTGCGCAGACTTTAGCAGCTGGAACACCTGCCTGCAAACATGCGATTTCAGAGTTTTCTCTTCTGGAGTTTTGCTGTTGCACAGGGTCCAAATGGCTCAACACAGTGGTGCAAAAGCAGGAAAAGAAAAGCAGCCCCAAGAGCCTATTCTCTGATTAGGAAAAAAAAAAAAAAGTTGGTTTCGTCTTTTTTTTTGCTTTAAATACTCAAAGGAAAACTAAAATGTGCTTCAAGCCCATTCATGAATGGGAAAATAATTCAATGCAGAGGATTAAATAATTCATTTATAAATGATTTGGTGGTGTCTGTAGAGCCTTTACAGCCTCAGATAAGGAACAGCTGGCTCTCTTGGCAGCGAACAAGAGGCTTCATTGCTTCACTATTAACTCATATTCCTCTGTTATACATGTGTTTTGTCACATCTAGTAGAAACTGTTTACAGAGTCTTGGAACTTATCTCATCAAGCCTGAAAATTCAACAGCATATTAATTTCCCTGTAGGATATTAATTTGGTTTTAGATCCCTTATGAATGTTGACAGCTACATATACTCTCTAGGCCAAACCAACTGAGTTTACTGATTTAATTTGGGCCTCCAGAATGGATAAATTGAGCTTTATGACAATAATGAGCTTAGATATGAGAATAACCTCACAACAAGGGGTTAGGTTTCCATAAAGATGTAAATCTCCAGTGAATTTACATTGCACCATATATATATATATATACCCCAAGATGAAACCAGAACGGCGTTTGTATAATCTTCTGCCCAGAAAGTCTCTTTTCCAAAGGTTACCATCCCAAATGGCAATGCCATGCTTCTGCCACAGCATGTGATAAGAAATAAACAGCTCACATTAAAAAGCCTGAAGAGTGCAAAAGGCCAGTGTGGCTGCTCTTTCCATTCCACCACGGTCTCCAGACGTATTCTCTTGGTCTTAAGAACTCTGAACTATATATATATGTAAAATAAAAGAGGGTGTCCTTGTTAACATCACCTATGACTAGTTGCTCTCTATGCAAAGCCTTTCTTCCTGAAACATTTCTAGCTGAGATGCCCACAAGGAGAAACGCTGTCTGGTGACGCAAGTGGTGAGCTGCCATGCAGAAGAGTGTCACCTTGGTGTGCCATCGTGCTACAGGTGTTGCCTTGCACGTGGTGCATTTGCCCTCCCTTGCCCCGCAGACCCTAAAAAGCGTGAAACCTGATTGTTAGAGCAGCACAGCTAAGATATTGACTGCAACTTCAGAAGTGGCTAATAGGAAGTTAGGTAGAAGAGAGAGGTGCGTCCCAGGGCAGAAAAGAGTTTACATAAGACTGCCTGACAAAGCATGGGCAAATAGAGCTGTAAAGAGGTATAGAATTAACGGAAAACCATTACCCACTGGCTAATGGTCGGTGCCTACATACATGTTTAATTCATGGATAAAGTACCCAATTAAAAATGCATGATAGACTTATGACAACCAACAGAGGAACGCGTGATTATTAATGGTAAGTATGGATAAAGGGGCAGAAGTAGCTCGGGTTTAGGCAGCTGGGGTACCAGACCTCCTCGCATGGTGGCGGGTCACCGGTACAGTGAGACTTGCTATCTGCCACATCTCCCTGCGGGTCAGAAGGAATCAAGCAACAGGGTGGGCAAGGCTGAAAGACTTGCACTCCGGAACAGTGTAAAGACCTCCTGGAAGAGCTGCTGTGCCCAGCAGACAGGCATCTGCTCCCTGGAGCCAGTTCTCCATGGGATGGAGCACTAGGACAGCAAGGCAAAGGGACAGAGCACACAAGGGACGAGAGCCAAAGGCCACTCAGCTCACAGGTGTGGGTGCCCATTGACCTCTTGTGGCTGCTTTGGGGATGATGTCCCAAAATGAGCCCAAAAGGATGCTGAGGCCTCCTGCTTCAGTGCTAGGGCTCTCTTTGCATGGACTGTTCTCATCGACATTGTGAGCCTGATGAGCCAAGCGAGCAGATGTGGCGACAACACATCAGGTTCTCGTGTACCAGTGGCTCCAGCAAACGAATGGTTAGAAGCACAAAGTTGCCATAGATGATGGAGATTTGTGTAGCACTATTTCCTTTGGCACAGTGATCCACCAGAATAACAACAACAACAACCAGAAGCTCCAAAAATAATAACCCTTACCACTGACATTAATTAAGCAATCAGAAGGACGAGGACATTATTTTTTTCCAGTGAAAGCTGTGAACACCTCTCTTGGCTGCAATCTGAGAAGCTTGTAATATAATATTCATGCTCAGAGTGTGTCCCGGTAGGGTAGGAAGGTACAAGTGCCTATGAATGAGTAATTTCCACTGGTTTAATCTCTGAAAGGTGCTGTGTGAGGATGCAGTGATTTCCAAGATGTTCTGCAATCACTCCACACCACTGAGGATCACAGATAAGCTAATGGGAAAGATAACAGTTTCCATAGTCTCCAAAGCTCACAAGTCCCTGAACAGATTCCTCCTTCAGCCGATTTTTTTTTTTTTTTTAAACAAAAGCAAAATCTTATCAAACTGGAACCAGGCAACTGTTTATTAAAAACAAGCCTGGCTTCCATTGCATTTTCTTTGAGTGTTGTCTGTATGGAAAGACGTTTTTGGCGCTTGCAGCAAGTGTTTTCCCTGGAGCCTGTGCTGGCGAGGGAGACTGGGATATCCTAAATCCTGGGAGACTGGAGAGCTCTGATATGATAAACCAAGGAGAAAAGAGTCTTGGCACTTGGACAGTCTTTCTAAGAATATCAACAGGCTCCAAAGGAAAGAAAGGAAAAGAAAAAGAAAGAAAAACACTGGCTCCCTAGGAAGTGTCTGTACAGGAGACAGGTTTCAAGCATTCTGGATCAGGAAAAAAATACCTATTTAAGAATAACTGTAGAATGATATTGGGTTGACCTGGAATCTGTATTTGTAGTCATGGAAGACTGACCTGTTTCAACATGTTTTCCTTATTTAAGCCCATCCTCAGCAATTGGCTTTTCTAGTTGATGGTGAATTACAGGAGGGCTCCTTGGTGAAATTATATTGAAGAGGACTGAAAGCTCAAATCCAGCTTAATTGTGTATCTAACATGTGAAGGGAAAACAATACTCAGCATTCCCCAGTGAAACTCTCTGTTCAGAGAAAGGATCATTAGAAGAACAAAGCCTTTGCAATGAATGTCAGTCATGTCACTTAAGGCACATCTGGGACAGGTATTAGGAGAATCTACACGGAATTCAACCACAGAGAACAAAATAAGGAGGAATAATTGCAAGAACCCCCTTAATATCATGGGCAGAGAAAATTTGCAAGGATAGGTTTGCCATCTGGCCACAGTGCTCACACTCACTTGTTGTAGAGGACAATATCTGGCCTCCAGATGAGCTCCGAGGGGATTCGGATGGATGTGACATTTTCATATTCTTGGGGGTCCCAGCGCAGCTTGTAGTCATGCCACTCCTGCCAAAATCGAGGAGGTTACAATGCTGGGAGAGTTCAGATTGCAAAATTGAAAAGGAACATGGAAAAGGATGTATTTTGGTGCACCCACCTGCTTCACCCACACATTCGTGGTCATCATTTGATTTTTCTCATCCTGAAATGCAAGATCAGATGCTGGTTACAGGAGCAGATGCAGCAGCCCAAGGAATTCATTAAACGTCTCTTAAATATATTCCTCATTTCTGTAATTATAAATCACCTCTCTAATAAATGTAAGTTCCTTCTTGGAAATAAAAAACAGATGTTTCTGTCATTTAACATGGGACAGGGCACAGCTGCCTCGTACCACTGAACAGCTGAGCCTGCACCTAAGCAATCCTGTGAGCAGACAGACTTGAATTTATTGGGATTTTCCTCGGTGTTGATGGATTCAGCTGAGGATGATGGGGCCAGGCAGAGGACAAAGCTCCACAGCTTGACCTGAGCGCTGAAGGAAGGGGCGTGATGGAAATATATCTTCTTACTCACACATGTGCATGGATTACAATGCTCAGCTTCATCTTGAAGTAGTGTTTATTAGTACTTCTACTGTGAAACATTATCCATGAACACAGTTCTGGAAGCATGAAGCTCAGCAGTGTTTCTCTTTCTACCAAATTCATGAACTTAGATCCCTACGGATTGAATTTGCTGAATAAACCCAAGCTACTCTGCTGACATGTAACCCTTGGACAGCATTGTGTATACCCATGCTGTCAACTGGTAGACTTTTTCCCAGGTACAGATAGTAGGG